AACAAGAAGCTACTAGGGGCTCCTGGCCTTACTACTAGGAACAAGAACCTACTAGGGGCTCCTGGCATCACTACTAGGAACAAGAAGCTACTAGGGTCTCCTGGCATCGCTACTAGTAACAAGAAGCTACGAGAAGCAAAGGGCATCGTCACTACTAGCAACAAGGGCATGACTAGTAGCTAGAAGCTAGGGAAAAATATCAGAGACTTTACGCCCATGGCCGCCATGGCCTTATTTTTTCTATTTGTATTTTTGCCGCCGTCTATAGATGGCAGCTTTGCGCCCGTGACAGACCTGTGCGACGAGGCCGAGCAGATTGCACCTTTGTTGGACCTTTGGTTTTTGGCCCACGTGCCTTGGGCATTCGGTTGGTGTTGGGAAACACTCTGGAAGTCCATTCCATTGAACCAAAAGACTTAGGGCGCTTATGCATTGCGAGCGTGAGCTTTCTTGCATCCAGTAATTAGGTGGTAGCTCACTTGATTAAGTAGGTGCCTACTTACTTGAGTAAGAGCGGGCTGAACGAAAAGGAGAAAACAACTCCAACTCGAGAGTCGTTGATCCTTTTGCTGATTAGTGTGGGTAGAAGGTCAAAGCTAGACAGAGGGCATTCATCTGCAGCTTGCGTGTATTGAGTAAAAGGTCTTACATATCGTACGGCTGGACATGTTCAGGACTGGAGCCAGTGGCAAGAAGAGATTCTTTTTGGCGAGTTCGTCAGGGATTCCAAGATAAGTTTTTGTGCTGCATTTGTGCTGAAATGAGTAACATTTTGGACTGAGACGGCCAGACACACAAAGTTTTGAGGCTGGGGCAGGATGAACACGAGTTGAACTTTTTGCTTGCCAGAGTCACCCAGTGAACAAAGTATTCACCTGAACCGGTCATGCAATGTTGGAACCAGTAGACATATGAAGACGCCTAGCACAGATTCAACCGTGGAAACTGTTTAAACCACGATGCATCGCTTGCAGCCATCGAAGCTTCATTGCAATCATTAAAAGTGCCGTGATGCATGCTCGCTTCATGTGAGTCAACCGAAATGGGTGATTTTCCTGCCAACGGCGCGCCACTTCCCTTCTTCCCTTTAGACAGCCACTGCACGAGAGGATTCTAGAATTTTCACACGCGCTTGGTGCTGAATTTTCACCTCCAGCGCCGGCGCCATGAACCGCTTGGGTTTTGGTGCCCAGGGGCAGCAAACCTCACAGGTGAGGTGGACGTCGGGTTTTTGGCTAAATGGCAAACTCTTCAGGCGGATTCAATGATTCCCAAGGAAGCTTCTTGTTACTAGTATATAGTAAGAATGCTCCTAGTAGCGATGCCCTTTGCTCCTAGTTGCGTCCTTGCTCCTAGTAGTAAGGCCAGGAGCCCCTGGTTAGGCCTGGTTAGTTGAACGAGGCTACAGGTCGCCTCAACTCACATCTTCCCTGTGCATTGGACCAACACATTTGTGCAGAGGTGGACATTGTTTCTGAAGCATTTGCTGCCCACCTTGTAAGTTCATCAGCATCACCATGCATCACCTTATCATGCCTTATTATCAGTGAAACTTGACAGATACCTGGTCTCCCTTTTGTGCTCTCGGTTTCAGTCCTTTGTGCAGGACTGGTCCTTCCATGTAGGGACCGTTTGCAGAGCTCCAATCAAAATGTCCTACTTTGTGCCTGCCTCAGAGCACCGGAAGTTCCAAACTGCCTGAAAAGGGCTGAAAGGGAGACTAGGAGCAAAGGGCATCGCTACTAGGAGCAAAGAAGCTACTAGGGGCTCCTGGCCGTACTACTAGGAGCAAGAACGCTACTAGAAACAAGAATTCAACAGAATTAGAATTAAAACTAATCATAACTAATGGGCGTCACTGATGGGTGTCAAGTTGCTGTTCCCTGTATCTGAGGAGTGCACCGAGTTCACCAGCTCGTTGAACCACTTTTCCAAGACACAGAACTCCAACACGTTCCGTTTCTTCGTTTCGTCGTGTTTCCTCTTTGAGGTAGCCATCTTCTTTGTGTCCGGGACCTCAGTTTCGGAGGAGACAGAGTCAATAGATTTGAAGTACTGGAGAGTGGGCCGGACCGCTAGTCTCCTTCGGGACCGACAAGAAGTTTCTGGTTCAGGTACGAGCTCGTGAGTAATTACAATTGTTACTAGTAGTAAGGCACTTGTTCCTAATAGCTTTTTGTTACTACTAGTAAGGCATCTGTTACTACTAGCTTTTTGTTACTACTAGTAAGGCACATGTTACTACTAGCGTGGCACTTGTTACTACTAGCGTGTCTCCTTCGGGACCGACCAGAAGTTTCTGGTTCAGGTACGAGCTCGTGAGTATTGGAAAGCAAGGCGGCAGCGATCAGATCATCCTGTGGCAGGCTGCTGTGACCGGAAAAGACACAATTGTTTCTTTTTGGCATTATTGTTTCTGATTTGCAAGGGTAGTTATATGGTCTTGGAGCCCTAGGCAAGCATAGAAGCCTGCTTGTTTTCTAGTGGCTTTTTCCCGAAAGCATTGCGAAGGGTTCTTCCGGAAAATCCTTTGAACACTTACACTTCGACACTTACACTTACACACACACACACACTGGAAGAGCGAAAGCATCCAAGTGCGAAGTATGCCAGTGTCAAAGTATGCAAGTGTAAGTATGCAAGCATGATATGCAAGGGTGAGTATGCAAGCACGCAATGAGTATACAAGCATGCAATGAGTAGGCAAGTGTGAGTATGGAAAACTAGCACGGGAGATGTCCTAATGAAAAAACATTTCCCCACTTTATAAATTCTCTCTTAAAGGCGGAGTGCGGGACGAACAGCGTCAACCGAAAGTGCAACCCTCTGCGGAGATCGTGCGTGTCGAGTGCGCGAAATGCAGGCGAGAGTGCGATTCGCCGGCTGCGCGCGCAACCCTCTGCGGAGATCGTGCGTGTCGAGTGCGCGAAATGCAGGCGAGAGTGCGATTCGCCGGGTGTGCGCGCAACCCTCTGCGGAGATCGTGCGTGTCGAGTGCGCGAAATGCAGGCGAGAGTGCGATTTGCCGGGTGTGCGCGCAACCCTCTGCGGAGATCGTGCGCGTCGAGTGCGCGAAATGCAGGCGAGAGTGCGATTTGCCTGGTGCCCGCGCAACCCTCTGCGGAGATCGTGCGTGTCGAGTGCGCGAAGTGCAGGCGAGAGTGCGATTTGGCGGGTGCCCGCGCAACCCTCTGCGGAGATCGTGCGTGTCGAGCGCGCGAAAGCAATCTGTGGAGCTGGAAGCTGAGAACTGGCGACTTTGTGGTACAACTTTAGTACGCAGAGTAGCTGGCGAGCTGGAAGCTGAGAACTGGCGACTTTCTAGTACAACTTTAGTACGCGGAGCAATCTGTGGAGCTGGGAGCTGAGAACTGGCGACTTTGTAGTACAACTTTAGTACGCAGAGTATCTGGAGAGCTGGAAGATGAGCACTGGCGACTTTGTAGTACAACTTTAGTACGCGGAGTAGCTGGGGAGCTGGAAGCTGAGAACTGGCGACTTTCTAGTACAACTTTAGTACGCGGAGAAATCTGTGGAGCTGGGAGCTGAGAACTGGCGACTTTGTAGTACAACTTTAGTACGCGGAGTAGCCGGGGAGCTGGAAGCTGAGAACTGGCGACTTTCTAGTACAACTTTAGTACGCGGAGCAATCTGTGGAGCTGGAAGCTGAGAACTGGCGACTTTGTAGTACAACTTTAGTACGCGGAGTAGCTGTGGAGCTGGAAGCTGAGAACTGGTGAGTTTCTAGTGCAACTTTAGTACGCGGAGCAATCTGTGGAGCTGGAAGCTGAGAACTGAGAACTGGCGACTTTGTAGTACAACTTTAGTACGCGGAGTAGCTGGGGAGCTGGAAGATGAGAACTGGCGACTTGGTAGTACAACTTTAGTACGCGGAGTAGCTGGGGAGTGGGAAGATGAGAACTGGCGACTTGGTAGTACAACTTGAGTACGCGGAGTATCTCGGGAGCTGGAAGATGAGCACTGGCGACTTTGTAGTACAACTGTAGTGCGCGGAGTAGCTGGAGAGCTGGAAGATGAGAACTGGCGACTTGGTAGTACAACTTTAGTACGCGGAGTATCTGGGGAGTGGGAAGATGAGAACTGGTGACTTGGTAGTACAACATTAGTACGCGGAGTATCCGGGGAGCTGGAAGATGAGAACTGGCGACTTGGTAGTACAACTTGAGTACGCGGAGTATCTGGGGAGCTGGAAGATGAGAACTGGCGACTTGGTAGTAGAACTTTAGTACACGGAGCAATCTGTGGAGCTGGAAGATGAGCACTGGCGACTTTGTAGTACAACTGTAGTACGCGGAGTAGCTGGAGAGCTGGAAGATGAGAACTGGCGACTTTGTAGTACAACTTTACTACGCGGAGGCGACTTTCGAGAGGTGAAGAACTTGCAGAAGACAGGTGTTCCTGCGCTTCAGAAAGACATACAGAGAGAGACACATACACACACAGACATAGATACACACACACACAGAGACCCACACAGTGCCTCAACACACTCGACTTAACACTTCACACTGAACACTTATAACACACTTAACAGATAACTCGCACTCTGACTTCCTACGTGATGAAAAATGCTTTCGGGCCACTCGTCGTCTAGTATGGTTTTTTCAACATGTCAAAGTTGTCGAGACTGATTCCTGGAGTGTCCTGCGGAATGGGTTTCCTAGACCTTTCGAAGTGGTCGAGAGACTTTAGCTATATTGGTGCTCTTTACTTGAATCATTGCTAGTATGTTGGCGGCCATCGCTCTTAGGTTAAAGGCCATTGCTATTGGTGCTATTGGCTTCAATCTGTCAGCCAGGTGGTGCGTGCCACCTTGGATGAAATCGTTTTACTGCTGACCATTCTTTGTCTCTTGGACTTGCCTAAGTGGCCATCTTTCTTGCAGAAGGACGCAACCAACAAAACTTTCTACAAAGTTCTCACCAAGACAAGAATCCCTCTGTTCAGAGGCTACTCTGTGTTTCTTTTCCTGGATGTGTATAGCCTTTCGGCTTGGAGAAGGTTTTTGTGGCATGGCCGCTGGCCTATCGTTTTCTGGCCGATCCAATGAAAGAGCGCGTGAATATGGACGAGCTCACGAAGGCATGTAGTTAGGTCATGACCCCAAGAAGTGAATTTGCTAGGTCAAGGAGCACTTTTTTTGGCTCCATGCCACCCCTTTGTGTTTGTTTTTTGGCACTTCAGCTGAAGCTGCTGAAGCTGAGGCCACGAGTTTGGCCATGGGAACATGGCCCGATACCTGGGAGGTGAAATCAGTGCCTTCGATGAATTGAACGCGTTGCACACCTAATAGCAATGGCCTTCAACCTAATAGCGATGGCCTCCAACCTACTACATTTTTACAGCAAGATTGCTGAAACATAAACTATTTGCAAACGTGCTCAATCTTGTGAGTGACAGGGCGGGGCATCTCCCAAAACATGTTTTTGAAGGATTCCAACGGACGGCTGTCGTTGCCTGCTTCCATTTAGCCACGAATTAGCCCCCATGATTAGCTTTTTCCTTGAGAAGATGTCATTCTGGCTGCACCCGAACGGCTCAGCTCACATCCTGCTCTGGGTCTTCGGGGGCATTTGCTTCCACACTCGCCCGCGACGCTTGGTCAGAAGCGTGAAAATGTGAGGAATGTCAACCGTGTGGATTTTACTGACTGAAGATGACTAGACTGACACCTAACAAAAAGCACCTCCAAAAA